CACTATTTTCTCATGGATTATAATATAATGCCAATAAACCATTTATTATGTATCTGCCTGCATTTCCAGAATTGTTAGCCAACCTGTACTGTTCTCTCAATTAGTCAAATTAACAACTTTGTTTTTCAACGATGGATGGATAATTATTTTGACTTGTGTTGGGGCAAGTTGGCCTCCGTATTTATGGTTGAAGGAAATTTGAGATTTCTATGTGCCTATTATGTGTTTATTATACATACGAAAGAAGAAGAGAAAGAGAGATAGACTGGGACGTGGTGCACAGCAGTCAAGGAAGGGTTGCTGCTTTCACAGTAGTAAAGTACCACTATTTTTATCGCTCTCGAAACAGGGCTGAGAGTTGAAACTGGCTAACACAGTACTGGTTGGTATAGTCTACCATTGTTGGAAGAAGATATTATTTTATAAAATAATGTTTACTACAGTTTCCTAACTTAAAAAAAGTAGACATTATAGAAAAAATAGAAAATGTAGAAAAATATTAAGGAATAGTTAAGTTGCCAGTGATCCCATCATGCAGAGATATAGCCACTGTTAATAAACGGGTGAAAAGGTAAAGGCACTATAGAACCAGTGTATTGGTTACATCGTGACTTCACTATGTCTCTGCACAGATTTTCAATATGTTGATGAGTAATACATACCCTTCCCCTTCCCTCCTCTCCCTTATCCCTAGAGTTATTTCCTTAGGCTGCCTTCTTAGAAGTGTACGTTTCCTAGAGCAGATGTCAAGCCTTTTATTGAGGGGTGTGGGAGGGACATGTTTCGGGAGGTGATAACAATTTATGTCCCTTCTGTTCATGTCTGGGAATGCCTGTGTCACACAGCTTTGCTAGACGTATGCATGATGAGTTTTTGTATTACTTGGTAAAATGCACGCATAAGTACTCATGAAGGTATAGATAGGACATTTGGGGATTTTTGTCTCAACGTTGTCTCTTCTAAACAGAGAGAAAATGGGTGCCATCACGTGAGAACTGCCTCATCCTCCTTGCGTCCAGTTCACCAGCCTTCATATGTTGTGCCCAAATGAGCCCTCACTTGCTCTTATCTGAGGCTAATACCTCCCCATATGTGAGCTAGATTCACAGACCCCCCTCATCCCTCCAAGAACTTCGCTCTTTTTCTCCTCTTGCTTTATTAATTTCTCACTTCCTATGGATCATTCTCATCAGCATAAAATCATGCTTTAAATGGCTCATCTTTAAAACCAAGCCAAACAAGAAATGTCCTCTACCCCTGGTCCCCTTTCAGCTACCAGATCCCCTCTCCTTGCCCCTTCACGGTAAAACTATGTTGACTCACTTTTGTTGTCTTTACTCATTTTTCTTTTCCCATTTTCTCCTCAACCCATTGCAGCAACATTGGTCCTTTTAAAGTATACTTTTCAAAAAGTATGAAACTTGACTTGTGTAAATATAAAATATGTCCAACATTTTATTCAATTAATTGATAATGGAACCAGTCTGTTGTTAAGACCAGTTCAAAGGAGACTTTGAACAATAAACATAGATGTAAATGGTTGGGTATAATGAAATGAATTTGCTAATAGAAGCAAAACTAGTTAATACCCTATAAGGCAATAAAGTGTAATTTAGGAGGGTCATCTTTTCTACAAATTGCAAATCCGTTACATCATTACAAGACAAAACTTGTTTTCATTGCTATCAATAAGAATCATCTGCATGGCTTCCTTTTTTTTGTGGCTTAACTTCCTACAAAGTTGTAAAATAGTCTAGTCAGGAGAAGGTCAGTGAAAAGAGGACACCCTATACAAATGAACTTATCTACAAATCAGAAATAAAGTCACAGGTATAGAAAACAAACTTATGGTTATGGGTTAGGGGAGGGATATATAGGAGATTGGGATTGACATATATATACTACTATATAGAGACAACTAGTAAGGACCTACTGTATAGCACAGGGGACTCTAATCAATACTCTGTAATGGCCTATATGGGAAAAGAATCTAAAAAAGAATGGATATATATATACGTATAACTGATTCACTTTGCTGTACACCTGAAACTAACATAATATTATAAATCAACTATACTCCAAAAAAAATTTTTTTTAAATAATAAAGTCTTAAAATGGAAAAAAAAAGACACCCTGTAAAATTGGATAATCCCCAAGCTTTCTCTAGCCAATGCCTAATACCACCCTGAAATAACATCCAGTAATTTCTTTCATCCATTTCCAAGTCTGGGACAAATTTTCCTGACAATCCCCACTATGCCCATTACTTTCTTACCAAAGCTAATGGTCTCTGTCCTCATCTGAAATGACCTCTTAGCAAGATCTGAAATGATCAAACACTCTTTGGAAGGCTTCTGCATATTTTGGTACACCCCAGCTACCTGATTTCCCCGTTTCACTCACTTCTTTAGTCTCCTGCTGGCTCCACTTCCTCCCTCTAATCATCAAGAGTGCCCCAGTATATCTCCAGCCCTGCTCTCTCCCCAAGTTCCAGACTCTTAATTACCTATATCCACTATTTAACTATAGTCCAAACTTTATCATCTCTTTCCAGGACTATTCCAGAGGGCTTCTCACTGGCCTCTGCTTCTGCAGTGGATTCTCCACTAAGCAGCCAGAGTGATTTTTTTTTTTTGCTGTACGCAGGCCTCTCACTGCTGTGGCCTCTCCTGTTGTGGAGCACAGGCTCCGGACGCACAGGCTCAGTGGCCACAGCTCATGGGCCCAGCCGTTCTGCAGCACGTGGGATCTTCCCGGACCGGGGCACGAACCCATGTCCCCTGCATCGGCAGGCAGACTCTCAACCACTGCGCCACCAGGGAAGCCCCAGAGTGATCTTTTTAAAGCATGCTGTCCCTCCTCTGCTTCAAGCACTCCAATGGTTTCTCCTTCTTGCAACAAGGATAAAATCAAAGCTCCTCTTGGCCCCTGAGGCCCTATATGATCTTGCCTTTCCCACTTCAATTCCCTTCACTCCTTCCCTTCCTTTTCCATGCAGTAGTCGAACTGGTTTTCTTTTCTGCACCTTGAATACACGAAACTCTTTCAGGGCCTTTGTACTTGCCGGACGTTTCCCCAGCAAGGCAGCCTCTCCAGGTGGCCTCTGTCATTTAGCTCTTTCTGTCAATGTCACCTCAGAGATGGCTTTCCCAGCCTCCTCAGCTAAAGTAGCTCACACTACCAGTCTCTCTATTACTCTACCCTATTTTGTTTTCTTTATAGCCCCTATCAGTATCTGAAATCTTATTATCAGTCTGTAATTATTCTTCCTCTCTAGAATGAAAGTTTCTTGAAGGTAGGAATTTTGTTTTCTCTTCCACTCTGTCCTAGAGCCTAGAATGGCACCTGGCACAAAGCACGTGCTCACGAAGTATTTGCTTGTTGACTACAAGATGGTTCATCCCAGTTGTACACAGCATCCTCCCTTAGTTTTCTAGAAAAACTGCAGGATGTAAGATGATAGAAAAGCAAAGAGCTTTTGTAGAAATGATGCACAGCAAAGACTGACTTTGAGAGGTGAAACGTTACCCCCTTCGGTGGTTCCAAAATGGTGACACTTCCTCTCCATGTTTTTTTCTCCATCTTCCCCCACGATAGGTGCACACAGTACTTAGGGACAGAGGAGGAAGGAACTGAGCTTTGGAGAAGAGAAGAGATGTCTCCTTAATTTTCAAGAGACCTTGAAAGGGGGGGACTTTGGTAACGGGGAAGTGTGGGAAGATAAAAAAGTTCTGGAAATGGATGGTGGTGATGCTTATACAACACTGTGACTGTCCTTAATGTCACTGAACTGTACACTTAAAAATGGTTAAAATGATAGATTTTATGTATATTTTATCACGGTTTTAAAAATTTACATTTAAAAAGGGGGAGGGAGCCTAGGACTTTCTGTAAAGGCTTTTGTGGTTGAGTGAGTCCTGTTGATGGGGTGTGTATTCTTTTAAGATTTCTGATTTTAGCGTGGGAGTTAGGTTAAAAGTTCTATTTTGATTGGAATTTTTGAGATAGGCAGGACTTCTAGAGGCTGAAGAAAAATTTTTTGTCCTTGTTTTTCTGTATTCTTTATTTAGGGAGGCAGATTGCCATAGAAGTACCTTTGCTTTGGGGAAGCCAGAGAAGACATGGTAGAACTCCAGACAGGTAGTAAGGAACTGGCTTCTTGAGAGGCAGTAGGGAAGAGTGGGAAGAAGGGGGCCTCCATCACTAAGCTTTGCGTCTGTGGGCAAAGCCACTTAATCACTAGGAGTTGGGTTTCCTGACTTTTCAGATTGTTGGGAAAATAAAAGATAAGATATCTAGCACAGTACCTGCTGTATAATAAATGCTCCGTAAGTGAGAGCTGCCTTGATTAGAAGGACTCACTCACTGTGGGAGGTAAACAAAAACTGTCTGACAGAAGAATGAAAGCAGGAACTTTAGTTTTTACTTCCAGGTTTCCTAAAGCCGGTCCACCACCTTAAATGAGAAAGTGGGATTTTCATGTCTAGGTTAAGAGTAAAGATTATGTGGAGGTTTTGAACTTCCTGGTGCTGAATCTCTTGGGAATCTAAGCATCGTAGAATAGGGTTATGTGACGTATACCGTCTTTGATTTTTGTTTTAACTGCGTTGAGTTGGAAGGCAGAGTTCTTACCAATGACCAGATCTGTTGTAATAGAAACAAGTTGCAGTGTGTATCTTGATCTGGTGGGGTATCCAAATGTAAAAATGTATCAGGCTGCACACTTCCTATCTGTGCACTATGTGTACTTCATAGCTCAATTAAAAACGAAAGAGAGAAATGGGCGACCTTATACATATACCTTTACAAAGGATTGTTCTCAGGTTTGACTCACAGAAGCCTTGAACAGTAGAGGTGAAGCTGGGAGAGTGATGGTACTGCTAATATGAAAATATTCGTATAGTGTGTTTATTATGAGAAATAATCATTGGAATAATTAATGCAGTGATCTTATAATGACTGATTTTGATTAACATCTATTTTCTTTATATTCTAGTTAATAAAAGTATCCATGGAGAACAATGAAAATTCAGTGGATTCAAAATCCATTAAATCTTCAGAGACGTGAGTATTTAAATGGAATCTCATACAAGCAGAGAAAGATGGGCGTATGTAGTACAGCGAACTTGGAGGAAGCAGAAAGAACATGGGCTTTCAAGCCAGAGAGGCCCAGATGACTTCCTACCTCATGTGACAGCTGCATGGCTATACACATGTTAAATTATGCTCTCTGAATCTCCTTAAAACTTTCACGGAACTGCGGGGAGGTGGGAAGGTGCCTGACGTGTAGTCAGAAACCCTGCCCTAGTAGCAGAAGGATGACCCAGGAGAGGCAGAGGCACCCTCCGAATCTCAGTGCAAGATGAGAGGTTTGTGTTTGGGGGAGTTTTTTGGCCTCCTGTTTATTTGTGAGTTTTAAGGCTAAAATAAAATGCCAGTTCTCAGTCTGGGGAAGAATTGCCTGGTTATAGATTATCTTTTACCCTTTGTCTCAATCTTCCATTTTGGAATATTCTGCTCATTAACGTTTCCAACAACCAGCAGATGGAGAAAGGGAAAAGATAGAACTCAAACACTCTTAATTCATGTCTGTTATTATCCATTTGGGATCTCTTGTGGTACATTTAATTCTAAAAGTTTATTTCTGGGGTCCAGTATTATTATTCTGGACCACCCAGGGAATTATAAACTAATTTTAGTACTAAACAATACTGTTAAAGCAGAGCTATTAGCAGGTTACCAATAAAGATTTTTGCAATATTTGTTTAGCAAAGGAATTTGCCTAGAAATTAACCTTTTGAAAGGCAGTCTCATTTTAGAGGTTTCTTGCCTTTTTTTAAACTTTACACATTTTCCTACCTTTTCCTATCATACAGAACATAATTTACTATTTTAAAAGGTAGTAATTTACTATCCTTTTCCAACAATATTTTTAGAATTGCATATAACGTGAAATACTCCCAGGTTGAGTGTGTGGGTACATGGACGTTAGGTATCAGTTTTTTGCTGTTGTTTCCTGATTCCTGGTCCAGGTCAAGGATCAGGTTTGCAGACTGTTTTGGTCAAGTTTTATTGAAGCATAACCACACCCATTCGTTTACATACTGTCCTGGGCGACTTCCACCAGCTGGATGGAGTGGGCTGCAACAGAGTCTGTACAGGCAGCCAGCCAGCCTAAAATACTTAATATTTGGCACTTTGAGAAAAAGTTTATTGACCCTGGTCTAGATAACAGAGGTTTTCGGATAAGTGACCTTTAGACAAGTATTTTCAATTATTTACAACAGTGATTCTATGTAGCAATAAATTATTAGTTTGTTCAGCGCACAGGGTTTAAGGAACAATTTAGGAATTGTGATAAATATTGTGTTTTGAGTCATAGTTGCCTTTTGTTGATTTCCCTATCATTTCAGGGTAATTTTTATGATTTCACTCTTACCTTGAAGGATAAAATATTTTAGAAAGTTTAAAAAAATTTAAGTATAAAATGAATTTGATGAAATTTTAATAAAATTTAGAGGAAAGCAAAATATAGAGATTAAAAGTCTGAACTCTGAAGTTCAACAGATGCTTTCAGCCTTGGGTCTGACACTGTATCTGCATAATGATCAGCCTCATAGTGGTCACTTCCTCATCTGTGAAATGGGTTTTTGTGAAATTTTAGTGAGGGAAAGCCTGTTGCACACAACCTGGCATATTATATTCAACAAATATTAACTGTTCCTATGTGTTAGAGAAGTTGTGTCAATGTGAACAGCAGCATTGGTCATTTCTCTCTCTGTAAACTGTTGTTTGATTTCCAAACAGAAAGATCTTACATGGAAGCAAATCAATGGACTCTGGAATATCCTTGGACTATAGTTACAAAATGGATTATCCTGAAATGGGTTTATGTATAATAATTAATAATAAGAACTTTCATGAAAGTACTGGTATGTATCATAAGATAGTTTTTAATCCTTTACAAGTATTTGTACCATTTATATTTGGTGTAGTATAAAAAACAGAATTGATGTTATTATTTAGTAAACTAATGACACAGAATAGCCATGAAGTAGACATAGAGCAGGACCCTATGGGTCCTACAATTCAACATGAACTCTTAGTCTTCTACCCATCATCATAATCTCTCCCTCTTCTATCTGTATGTTTATCTCTTCTGCCCTGACTTCTGTGTAACCCTTGCTTCTTTATCTTCCTGCTCCCTCTTTCATGTTAACGGAAGGATTCAACAAATAGTAAGTAGAAATATTTTTCCATTCCAGGAACTGTGCAAGGCACCTCACAGAAATTGCCTTGTTTAATTCTTAGAGCACCCCTGAAAACTAACCACCATTAGATGCCGAAAGGTTAAAAATCCTTGCACAGAGTCCCACAGATGATTTAGTATCGGAACTGGGACTCAGCGTTGGTGCTCTGAATCCACTTTCTGTGCCACTTCACCTGTGCCTTCATTCATTCTGTTGACTTTCTCTTCTTCCCCTGAAAAGAAGAGACTCCCCACCCTTAAAGAGACCTTTCTTTTACCCTGCTGCCTCTTAAGCTTTGATCTGATTTTTGTCTCCTTCCCTAAATCTTAAAAACACGTACTTTAAACTTGCCATCTTCACTTCTTTCCATCCCTTTGATCCTGTTTTCTCTGTTTCTACCTCAACCGCTTTGTAGAAGTTGCTGTTAGGTTCACCGTAGCCTGATCACCGGATCCCGTCCTCAGTCTCTGTACTATGTATGGCTTGAATCTAATAATACTTTCAGAGGTTTTTTTTAAGAGAATGTAAAAAATAAAATCCCTCACGATCCTAAAAAGCTATTTAACATCTTACTGTATTTCTTGATATTTTTTCCTTGACAGTTTCTTTCAAAGCTTAATTTTATCCATAATAGTAAGCAATATTGTATTTTGCTTGTTCCATTTAATGTAATACAAGCATTTTTTGTGTTGCTGTATAATTTTCATATCTGTAATTTTAATGATTATATAATATCCCATTCCCTAAATATAATATTCACTTGACTTGCATAATTTACCATATGAATGAACACTTTGGCTGTTTCTTCATTTTTCATTTTTAAATTGGTGCTGTGATAATTCTTTGAATTTGCATATTAATTGTATTAGAATTAATTTTAGTTAAATTAGAATCTGCTGATTCAGTTTAGGAGACTATCTACCAGAGTGCTGGTGAAAAGGGAAAGAAGCCAGATTACACTGGAAAGATAAGCTGGATTTGATGTTAGATTCATTATAAGGAATGAGGAAAAAGTAGTTGAAAATGAGTGTCTAAACCTGAATGGCACCATTTGTATTGCTTTCGGCTCTAAGTTGAGATACTACCTTCAACCGTTGGTATTCTGCCTCATGTTGCTAGTTATAATGCCCTCGTCCCATAGAATTTTACATTGTTGAACTTATTGGAGTTTTTTTTTCCGTCCAGCTTTATTGAGATATAATTTACACACACCACTTATAAGTTTAAGGTGTACAGCATAATGATTCGATTTCCATAGATCATGAAATGATTATCACAATAAGTTTAGTGAACGTCCATCAACTCCAATAGATACAACATTAAAGAACTAGAAAAAAGCTTTTTTCCTTGTGATGAGAGCTCTTAGGATTTCCTCTCTTAACAACTTTCATATATAACATACAACAGTGTTAATTATGTTTATCACATTGTATGTTGTATCTCTAGTACATCCCGAGTACTTACTTATCTTTAAAGGGGGAGGGGGAAAATTGTTCTACTCTCCCCCCAAAAATACTTAGGCCTGTAGTCTGGCTTTAGCCTTAGAGTGAGCCCCTTTTCTGCTTTGAAATTTGAAGATCAGGTTCTCACAGCCACCTCTGACAGCCTGGTATTTTTTGTTCAACTACTAAGTGGCTCACAAACCAGGACCAGAATTCAGTCAACTTGTCACACAGCCGCATGGTATCCTCAGCCTTTCCAATGTCAAAACCTTGATGAGCTTACTTTAATTTTATAAAAATAATATATGGCCATAATATACATTTCAGAAATTACAGATTAGCAAAAGAAAAATTGAAATCACTCCTAATCACACTACTCAGATAATCAACAATAATTTGGAGCTAGAAACATCTAGTCTTTTTTCTATGCATATGTGTTAAGTTTACTCAATGTGTGCCCTCCCCCTGCAGCACTTTAGGATTTTTAAATCTGAATTCACTGTTCATTCAATCTGTACGTGTATGTGGAAGGCGCTGTAAAGGCATGAGGAAAGCCCAGGACTCCTGGGTACAGTCTGCTCACCAGCTTCACTACTTTGTCCAAGTTCCTGGACTCCTCTGTGCTCCCACATCTGTGCAAATGAAGCCAGTCATGATAACGGTCTCATGGTGGTTAGAAGGCTTAATGGAGGCCACGCAGAGCAGAATGCCTGATGAACAGTGCTAAAGTGGCTAGTGGTTTGTGGGGTTTTTCCTGAAAAGGTGTTATGAAAGTACTAATGTATCTTAGAATTGTTGGGAACTTGAAATCAAAGAAATAGTCCCTCTGGGTTTGTGAGGTGTGTATTGATACATATGTGTGTGTGTGTATATATATATATATATATATATATATATACTTATAATTTTTTCTTTAAAGTAGGATCCTATGCTTTTTTTTTTAAGTGACCATTTTCCCATGGCAAAATTTTGTCTACAAAATTTCAGTGGCAATATAGTATCCCATTATATAAATGACTTTTAATGTATTTAACCAAACCTCTCTTGTTAGGCATTTAAGTTTGTTTTTCACTATCTAAGCAGCTGTGAAAGACGTCTTTGTGACTGTAACACTATAACAGTTTATGTTATGAAGTGTCTTATATGCTAAGAAATGAAAGAGTCTTTGTGTCACCACGATCAGAATATTGAATTTTCTTAGCATTTGCAAGGAAGAGTTTACTGTAGATTGTGTGAATCACTGAATAGTTCATTTCAAAGCAGTTTATGGGTCTTTTTAAAATTTATTTTTATATATTTTTTATTTTTGGCTGCACTGGGTCTTCGTTGCTGCACACGAGCTTACTCTAGTTGTGGTGCGTGGGCTTCTCATTGCTGGGGCTTCTCATGTTGAGGAGCACGGGCTCTAGGCACACGGGCTTCAGTAGTTGCAGCATGTGGGCTCAGTAGTTGCGGCTCGTGGGCTCTAGAGCGCAGGCTCAGTAGTTGTGGTGCACAGACTTAGTTGCTCCGTGGCATGTGGGATCTTCCCGGACCAGGACTCAAACCCGTATCCCCTGCATTGGCAGGCGGATTCTTAACCACTGCGCCACCAGGTTAAGTCAAAATTTTTTTTTTTAATGCAACTAAAAGTAACTTTTTCTGTTCAAGGGATGGCGTGTCGGTCTGGTACAGACGTAGATGCAGCAAACCTCTGGGAAACCTTCACGAACTTGAAATATGAAGTTAGGAATAAAAATGATCTTACATGTGAAGAAATTTTGGAATTAATGTACAGTGGTAAGAAATAATGAAAAGAATGATCTTCGTTGTCCAATTTATGTTACAATCTAGCTGTAATTATACACATATAAAAGTAAAGCATGAGAGCTGTGGACCCCCCCTCTCTCTCTCTCTCTCTCTCTCTCTCTCTCTCTCTCTCTCTCTCTCTCTCGCTCTCTCGCTCTCTCTCTCTCTCGCTCTCTCTCTCTCTCGCTCTCTCTCTCTCTCTCTCTATATATATATATATATTTTTTTTTTTTTTTTTTTTTTTTTTTACTCTATATATTTTATGTAAGTAAAGCAAGTTATTCATACCAACTCACTAGAGTGGTTTGAGGTGTGTTGCTCTGCCCTAAGTTGGGTTTACATGATCTCTTAGTTCTGTTCTCAGGTTTCTTCATCTTATTCCCATACAGTGCATATGAAATGGTTGAATAAAATTGCATGGGTTTTCTGATGGTTTTTCTCGTTTGTGAGCGTTTTCCCAGTTTCTAAAGAAGATCATAGCAAAAGGAGCAGTTTTATTTGCGTGCTTCTAAGCCATGGCGAGGAAGGAAAAATTTTTGGAACAAATGGACCTGTCGATCTGAAAAAATTAACAGGCTTCTTCAGAGGGGATTGTTGTATAAGTCTAACTGGAAAACCTAAACTCTTCGTTATTCAGGTAATATATAACTGAGCAACTTGGTTATTGAGGATTCATTAGGGATTAATTTACTCAATTGTGGATTATCAAAAAAATTTATTTTTTTCCCTGAAGCTACTGAACTATTGTTAGTTTTTTGTTTATTTAAACTACCACTTAGGAGATAGAGAATAAATTTTAATTTTAGACTTCTAGCAAAAGGATTCTGCATAATTAACATCAATTTTTACAGAGCCTTTGCATTTCTTAGAAATAACAGTTGTACATGTACACACATATTTTTTAAAATAAATGTTTAGTTTCTTTTTCTTTTCTTTTTTTTAACTTTTTAAATAAATGTTTATTTTCTAACCTCTAGGCTTGCCGAGGCACAGAACTGGACTGTGGTATTGAGACAGACAGTGGAGTTGAGGATGACATGGCCTGTCAGAAAATACCGGTTGAGGCGGACTTCTTGTATGCATATTCTACAGCACCTGGTAAGAAACTTACTAATACTGAATGTTATATGTAGATTTTAAACAATGAAGAGTGTGTTCCAGAGGCTGTCATGATATTGATATCCATAAAAAGCCAACTTGGGGCTCCCCTGGTGGCGCAGTGGTTGGGAGTCCGCCTGCCAATGCAGGGGACACGGGTTCGTGCCCCGGTCCGGGAGGATCCCACATGCCACGGAGCAGCTGGGCCCGTGCATGACAACTGCTGAGCCTGTGCTCTAGAGCCCGTGAGCCATAACTACTGCCACATGCCACAACTGTTGAAGCCCGCACGCCTAGAGCCCGTGCTCCGCGGCAGGAGAGGCCACTGCAGTGAGAAGCCCATGCACCGCGGCAAAGAGTGGACCCCGCTCGCTGCAACTAGAGAAAGCCCGCGCGCAGCAACGAAGACCCAACTCAGCCAAAATAAGTAAATAAATAAATTTTTTTTAAAAAAGCCAACTTGTCTGTATTTTAGGGTACCTTAACCACAGACAAGTCTCAAAAAGTTGTCTTTAGCAAAGTTGGGCTAGAAAATATGCATCTATAGGAAAGCATACTTACATAGTGTCATTCATGAACTTGATACCACATGGAAACTGTATTAAAACATAGGACAAGTCAGAGCTTTGCCCGCTTCCTGAAATAGGAGAGAACTGTGTTTTCCAGGAATTCTTTGGAAGATAGGAAATTGAAAGGATAAGCCTGAATAGCATATGTGCAGGTAGAAATGGAATGAGGGAAAATAGAGTTAAAAATGATTTATGAATAGGTTATCAACCTCCACTTTTTTGTGGTTGTATTATACGTGTCATCATATAAATAAATATTTATTGATCATACAGCTGTTTACTTATACAACTAAGGGTGTCACAAAGTTTGGAAATATAGGGCAAATGTATTTTTAAACAGTATTACATTTTTAAATATAGTCAATGTGACTTCTTTTAACCTCCAGGCATCTTTCCAGATAAAGTACTTTCAAATTAAAAGCAATGGATCCAGGGAATTCCCCAGCAGTCCAGTGGTTAGGACTCAGTGCTTTCACTGCCACGGGCCTGGGTTCGATCCCTCGTCGGGGAACTAAGGTCCCACAGGCCGTGCGGCACAGCTGAAAAAAAGGAATGGATCCAATAGTTAATCTGGGAAAAGAACAATAAATACACTGTTTCCCCTTTTTGGACTTTTGAATATACAATAATGTGTTTATTATACTCTATTCAGATACCCTGTGGACAAATTTAGGACACTCAAATGTGTGTGCATATGTAAGCAGGTTATTTCTTGGATAAGCCAATAATCTGATTGCAACACGATGCTACTTATAATGGTCCTTTTCATTTCTTTGCTTTTGCATCTTCTGCACGTTACCCTTTTCTTCCCTATTGGAAGGGAAGCCCAGGAAGTAAAATTCTCAGTAACTCAGTGGTGAAGTTAGTCCACAACTCTTTTCCTTGTCAAAGCAGAGGTATACATAAAGCATCCATTTGGTTTTTGTTTTGTTTTCCCCTGGAATCAAAGGTGTCGTTTATTTATTTATTTATTTATTTATTTTTATGGCTAATAATACCTATGGATGTTTATACTTGTTTTTACCTTCATGATTATGTCATAATTTATTAAATCAGCTAACATTGGATATCCATGATATTTTGGTTACATTTTGCCTTGTAGGTTACTATTCCTGGCGAAATTCAAAGGACGGATCCTGGTTCATCCAGTCACTTTGTGCAATGCTGAAACAGTATGCTCACAAGCTTGAGCTTATGCACATTCTCACTCGGGTTAACCGAAAGGTAGCAATAGAATTCGAGTCCTTTTCCAATGATTCTACTTTTCATGCAAAGAAACAGATTCCTTGTATTGTGTCTATGCTCACAAAAGAACTGTATTTTTAATCACTGATGAAATGGATGATTTTTTTTTTTAATCTGTATGCCAAGTGAGGAAACGGTGTGACTGATAAACTATATTTTCCTCTCTCATTTAAATCTAATCTAATCCCCCAGGTGATACATGGAAACATGTCACTTTCATAGCAATAAAACTACTATGAAGCTACCTCAAACACAATCAGGTAGTTGAAATTGAATTTAATTAAGAATAAATAAAAATGGATAATGGTACAGTCATTATGAGAGGAAATGATTGTAAATTAACAGCTTTCATAATTAGCAAGTTTTAGTGATTATGCTATGCTACAAATTTTCAAGGAATTATGGAAGAATTTAAACATTGCTGTAATGTGTTTCAGTGATATTGACAATGCTCTTGTTTCAGAGAACATGTTCTGGTTTTTGTCAAACTGTAGACATGATGATGTGGAATAATGTATCCTCGAACTTGGTGGTCCGTGTGCATGGTCAAATGCTTGAAGACCTTGATCTTAGAATTAGTATTTGGAGACAAGACAATAGTATTTTTACATCACCCATCTGAGAACATGGTGTTGTGATGTCTGTCCCGAGCATGTCCTTGTTGTTTAAATAAAAGAAAAAATCATGTTTAGTATTGAAAAAGGAACTAAATGTTTTACTTGAGAATATGCAAGAAAACTAAGTTGACTCTCTCAGGTTAAATGCAACATTAATAGAGGGAGACAGAGTTAGGACTATAAGGTGCTGAAATGCAACTCTTCCCACCAGCTGCTGGGCCTCGCATTCCCACAGAGTATCTGAAGGGCTCTTATGCAAAACCTCAAACTTTGATCACACTGATAGCAGCATGAATTGAAGAAATTCTATAGGAACATACTAAAATACAACTTACAGAATACACAGTGAGGTGTGAGGAAGAAACAGTAAACCAATCAGCTGGGCACTCGTAATTAGAAGATGGCTTGAGCCTGAACAGGGACACAGCGCAGCCTATGTCATGAAGGCAGAGCCATAGACTACGGCTTCAGGAAAAGGAATGCTGGCTAGTTTCTTCATGTACATGGAGGTGTACATGGAGGATGCTCCCAAGGCAAGAAGCTCCAAGAAAGTGAACCAAATCAAACTTCTGAAATGGACATTTTCAAAAGATGGTGAGAGTCATAATAAAAATTGTAGCATTTTTTTTTTCAATTTTTTCAATGACAGCTTTTAATTGGATGTTAAATTCTTATCTGCCTTTCTGCAGATAGCACATTATATAAAATACAGCTAGCACCATTACCACTGTACTGGATACACTGAATAACAATTCACTTCTCACTTTACACTGAGGGGGAGAAGGGCTGCAGTTGTCAGCCTGTCAGAAATTAAGTATGTAAATTAATGCTTAAGTGTATAAATATGAATATGATTTACAAGACGCTCAGAGTGTTGTTGGGGGAAAATCCTGAGTTCTCTCATTCCCCTTCAACGATAACAAGTGCTCAGTGACCTTGACAGACGGCACGCAGACATGGGTGTGGCCACGTGTGCACTTGGCCACCAAGCTTTGGGAGCTGAAGTACTCCCGAAGAGCAAATCCTGGACTCCTTCCGGAATGTCCCTTTCTGCCATCCATGAATGTCAGCCCATAAAAGCAATTTCATTAGCATTTCCTCATTTTCCAATATAAGCAGTGAGTGTGGCCCAATAATATGGGCCCTCAACCATCCTTTGCCAAGGACGGGAAAAATCATAGCACTCTTTGTAGTAAAGTTTTTGAGCATGTTAAGTTGTATTTTGTTGACATTTATAATCAAAGGAGAATAACACTGTTATGATCATATACGGTTCTCTGAAATGAAAGGACCACGGCGTGCAGGACGTTAGCAGTCATTCAGTCTTCCCTCCTTTGGTGCCCAGGGAAACTGAAGGCCAGAGAGGAGAAGCAGCACGGCCCGAGCGGGGGACAGCAGGCCAGGAGCCTCCTAGCTCAGGAGATCTTGAGCCGCGCCTGCATCGCTGTATCCCGCTGGTTTTCAGTCTGACATTTCCTGTGAGCCGCCTTTTGCTGAAAGAAAGGAACTCATGTTTATAAATGAAAGCTGTTTGTTTGGGCTAATATGTCTGTAGCTTTTTCTAAGTCAATGAAGTATCTTAAAGTGTGTTCCTGTGTGACAATTTTTTTTTTTTTTTTTTTTTGCGGTATGCGGGCCTCTCACTGTTGTGGCCTCTCCCATTGTGGAGCACAGGCTCCGGACGCGCAGGCTCAGCGGCCATGGCTCACAGGCCCAGCCGCTCCGCGGCATGTGGGATCCTCCCGGACCGGGGCACGAACCCGTGTCCCCTGCATCGGCAGGCGGACTCTCAACGCCTGCACCACCAGGGAAGCCCCTGTGTGACAATTTTATAAAAAATTTGTTACTATGAATTTTTATTTCCAAATATAAATTTTAACTTAAAATTACCATCACATTCAAGTTTTTGTTGTTGCTTCTGATGTGCTACTCACTGAAATTAAAATATTTTTAACCAAGTGCTTGATTTGGAAGGGCCAGAGAAGATGCAACAGGACCCTTTAATCAAATACTTTGAGATGGTGGCAAATTACCGAATAGGATAAGCAGCCTTCCTTTTCTCCCAGGTCCCTCTCAGAAGACCATTTCTAAAGTTACCATGATGCCAGGAAGGATATGAAGTTTGCAGAGATCACAGCCCCTAAATATGACCATATTTTTGTTTGTTTCCTTGCCTGGAGGAATGGGGAGTAGCAGAGTATAAAGGATATTGCTGAAATGAATCATTTCAGCCCATAAATTTTTAGTAGGGTGAATAGAGGGTGGGGGGAAGAACTGGGCGGGGGGATGGAAAAAAACCTGTGATGTCCCCAGATGGTCAGCTCTGGGAGAGGAGCTGTGACAGGGGAAGGAGTTCCCTTTGTGTTTTGTGTACTTAGAAAAGAAATGTGAGAAAGTGCAAACATGAGTGGTTTACCTTTCTTCCAGTATTTCTATAGTGAATGTACATTACTTTTAAGTCAGAAAACTAATAGAACTCTCTAATTGGGACTAGGGGATTCCTGTTTCCAAGGAGTAGAGGGTGACATGAATAACTCCTTTAAGACTCTTTTAAAGCTATAGTTCTGTAGTACGTTGACAGTAGAGCCCATTCTAATCTCTGCTAAATAAAGAAGTCTTCAATATTAAAAAGAAAAAATACCAAGGCCAAGAGCCCAATAGAAAAACGGACTAAGGGCCATGAACAGACAGTTCACAGGAAAACACCAAATGTCCCTTACACCTCAGATGAAAATCTTAATCATCACAAGAGAAATGCAGATTAAACTAAGGTATCATCTGTCATCTAGCAGACGGACAAAAGACCTCATTTGACAACATTCTGTTGGCTGAGCTGTGGGGAAATGTATCCCCCGTTGCTGGGGCCGCGAAACCGCGTGTGGAGGAGACTCCGACGATGCCTATCCAGTTATTTACTCGTGAAGTAGCAGTCTCAGGCCTTGGAGCTCCAAGTGCCCATACACCCGCACATGTAATAAGTATATACGCAATGATTCACCTCAGCATTGTTTTAATACAGCAACCCAGCTGTAGAAAAGATAGGTTAGATACACTGATACATCCACACAGTGGAACACGACTTGCTGTAAAACAGAGCGAGGAGTACCCTCTTGAACTGATAAAGGTCTCCAGCATGTATGATCAGGTGGGAAAGGACGAAACACAGAATGCTATAGACTGTATGCTGTAATTTGTGTAAAAAAGGACTAGGGGGCGGGGAGAGCGTAAGAATATGCATAAAGCAACACCAGGAGGATAAAGGGCACTAATACAAATGTAAATGGTGGATGGGAACAGGGATGGAAGTGAAATTTCTTTTGTGTTTACTTTTCTATATCGTTTTGACTTTTTGGAACCGTGTCAATGTATTATTACCCGGCCTCAAAGATGGAATCGAATCACGGGGGGAGGTTATGGCACAAAACTTTCAGGAATGAGAACGTGGTTCCATACGGGGGTAGGGCTGGGAGGGATGCCACAGCTGTCCATAGCCATGTTGCAGGATTTTGTTTAGCTTGTTTATTTTCTTCTTTGCTTCAACCTCTGTAGGTATTAGTTGAGAAATCATTAACACGCTTGATATTAGAACTTGAGCCTAAAGTAATACCTAGCATCAGCTTTTTATAGCTCAAGGAGCAAACTAGACTATTCACATTCGTTTCTTAATTCACTCTCTAGTTGTTCCATCCTTATCCTTTGCAAAATTATTGTAATTATCACATGATGAGGCAGACCAAGAAATATCCATCAAAGAATTTTTGTGCACAGAATCTCTACCGTCTGCTACGTTGATAATTGAAAGAACTGAGGAACTGACATGCTTAGGGATGTTCAGAAAAAGCAAGCATCTCCCTTTCAAGAAAATGTTTTTCCAGATTTAAAGTTGGCGCAAAAGCTATTAAGTAGCATGTTTGAGCTAAGAGGCCAATGTCTGATCTACACCTTATGCTTTGGTTTTAGGTGACTTAAATGTCAGCTCAGGGACCTAACAGCCTCATATACAGTTTCCCAAGAGGAAAGCATGTTTGGCCAATGTATTGAAAGCTAATTCACTGATTTTACTGAAATATTTCCAAAGACTCATTTCTGCCTGGCAGGTTTAAGGAGCATTGAGGAGGCCACTGTGGGTGGAGGGGAGTCAGCAGGAGAGCAGGTGAGGCTGACGGGGAGATGCTGCAGAGTGGGGCCTTGAGGATGCTATACCTACAGATCCCACCTAGGGACAGAGTACTAGTGCAACAGGAAGAGGCTCCAACATCTAGGGACCCAGGAAAGGAGACCGAAAAGGACGGCCAGGGCTGAAGGTGGGAAAACAGGAGAGTGTAGGGTGAGAAAGCCAAGGGAAGAAACTGCTTCCCAAGGAAGAGGCCTGCTGGGACAAACTACTGAAAATTCAGAGAAAATGAACATTTGAAATATGCATTGGATTTGTGACAGGAGGTTATAGGTGATCTTGACAAAGGGGATTCTGTGCAAATATTGAGGCAGAAGCCAGCTTAGAGAGGATTGCTATATGAGTGCCAAGTGAGGAAACAGAAATTAAAAGTATAGAAAACTTGAGAAACTGGCTTCGAA